CAGTTCTTCTGGATTGAGTCTGTCTCAGTTTGTTCTGTTTCTTCATGTGACTCCAGACAGACTGATGATGATCAGATCTCTGTGTGGAGCACAAAAATGTCACTGCATTATTACAATTAATGGCCAAATGAATGTTTGTAAATGTAAACTGATATTTCCTACTGACACACTACAGCAAAAGATAGAAATAACTGACTTAAAACCATTTTTAGCTGCTGGAAATACTAGTGTTCTAATCATTTTGGCCACCACTGTGTGTGCATTATGTTGAGTGTCATATTTGCTCCATCAGGCTTTTATGGCTCATATAGTCAGATACAGTGAGAATATGAAGCTCAATTTCATTCAGAGAATAAAACTGAGCAAAAATATGAATTTGGTGCAGATGCTGATATTTCTATGATGAAATTCTGATGCTTGTAAATCAATGAGATCTTTCTAACAGTGCAGCAGATACTGACATAAATTGATCTAAATCTGAGGAACAGTGAAAGTAAAGCTTCTGGAAACAAACGCTCCTCAAAAGACCCTGAGGATCAGATTTGAGACTCTAAAACATGATTGATGGAGAATCAAGTAAAGCTGAGCTGCAAGCGTTTCTCTAAAAGAGCTTTTATCTCTTTTAGTATCGAATATGATACATTAGGCTTTATAGGGTTAGTAGGGTTAGAGTTGATATAAAATGAGTTTTTCAATGCATCCTCTTCAAAGGTCCAAGGGCAGCCTCTTATGGTACAAGTCAGTGGGGGTCAGCTCATCACTTCCTCTGGGCAGCCCATAATGGTACAGGCCATGACAGGAGGACAAGGTCAAACCATCATGCAAGTACCGGTATCTGGTACACAGGGGCTGCAGCAGGTGGGTGAAGCTCATGTTACGTTGAATTGTTGGTTAAAATATACTATTTTCATTAACATATTTAATTTATCTAATAGTAGTGCATTGGTTCTCAACCAGGGGGCCTGGTTGACAAAACACCAAACAAAAAAGATTTCATCAATTTTTTGCCTTTGATGAAACAGCATTCCCACAATCTTGGAAAACCTGTATATATGAGGAAGACTTATTATAAAACTGTGAATTCTTGAACTGAAAAGGCTCATTAAACGTCATTTTTATAATAAATGTACAATTATTCCAAGCTCTGAAGTACGTTATCAGGTAGAAATTGTGAGTAAACAACTGGACAAGTTATGAAGCATTCAAAAATTGTTGTTGACATGGAGTCAAAAAGATTGAGAACCACTGCAATATAGTGTTCCATCAAAATATTGGGTGTGAAGTTGTAATAAAATTACCAAATGTGGCACAGATTCAATTGGTACAGCCCAGTCAAATCCAGCTTCCTGGTGGGCAGACATTACAGCTACAGGGTCAGCAGGGACAGACCCAACAGATCATCATTCAACAGCCACAGACCGCAGTCACTGCAGGACAGAACCAGGTGACTTCATTTTGTCATGAATTTGAGGAAATATAAAGGAGCACCCTCTATAAACTGCACTCTTTAATACATATAATTAATGAAGTTCATGATAAATGTTTTCTTAGGGTCAGCAACAGATCACTGTACAGGGTCAGCAGGTGGCTCAAACCGCTGAAGGACAGACCATCGTTTACCAGCCTGTTAATGTGGACGGGACCATCCTACAGCAGGGTAACACTGCTACTCCTCTGTAAAACACTGAGCCGTAAACATCATGCAGTTCAATAGACATGTATACACTGCTTATGACATGTAATTAATCTGAATGCATTTTGTGATTGTCCATCCAGGAATGATCACCATTCCAGCTGCATCTTTAGCAGGAGCTCAGTTAGTCTCAGCTGGATCCAACAGAAACACCACCAACACCGGTCAGGGCACAGTGACCGTCACTCTTCCCATGGCAGGAAACATGGTCAATGCTGGAGGAATGGTCATGGTGAGCACTTGTGGTCATTTTTATCTATTACCGAAAGTGAGTTCTTGCTATAGAGATAATCTATTTAGATCACACTTCCTAATCTTATTGTGTGTGTTTATAATTGAATCAGATGGTCCCAGGGGGTGGCGGGTCAGTTCCCACCATGCAGCGCATTCCTCTTCCTGGAGCAGAGATGCTGGAGGAGGAACCTCTGTACGTCAACGCTAAACAGTATCACAGGATCCTCAAGCGGAGACAAGCCCGTGCCAAACTAGAAGCTGAAGGCAAAATACCAAAAGAGAGAAGAGTATGTGTGCTTTTATGGCAATAAATAACAATGACTTTATTTATATAACTCTTTATGCAAATATAGCAAAACACATTTGTTATATTTATTACATTTATATTATATTTTGATTCATAAATAAATAAATGCTATATACGCATAAGGAGTGTGTATATATATATATTTATTCCATGGTCTGTCAGAATACTGGATTCTGATTGGCTGGCAGGTATGCACTAAAACCGTTTAATGCACAGGTAGTTCCACGTCAGTTTAATCACCGTTCTATATTAATGCGCGCTGTGTGATTAATGTGATCTTACTGCACTATTTCATCTCTGTGTACGATTTGAAGCGGGCAGAATGCTAGAGCAAACGTGCCGTAACTGACGAAAATAACTCATTTTTACCCATTCGGTCAAATATTGCGCTGTAAAGAGCAATACTAGTTTTAACTTGTCTATAACTTGGCAAATGACCATGGAATAAGCAGGATAATCAACGGCTAGCCGTGCATTAAAGGATTTAGTAAAAATATTCAATTCGGTGCAGGTGCTGATAATAATATGGACAAAAGTGATGAAATTCTGATGCTTGTACTGTAAATCAATGAGATCTTTAAAGCCGTATATCAGATGCTGACATAAAATGATCTAAATATCACTCTATATCTGCAGTAATATGTCTCAGTGAGATGAAACTGAAATGCTCCAAACATATAATGCAGTGATTGAGAGCTGAAGAAATAAAGGCTCCTCAGAAGATGTGAGATGTTCTGGAGGCTTGTGAAGATCATTCCTCCGCTGAGGAACAGTGAAAGTAAAGCTTCTGGAAACAAACGCTCCTCAAAAGACCCTGAGGATCAGATTTGAGACTCTAAAACATGATTGATGGAGAATCAAGTAAAGCTGAGCTGCTTCAGTCCAGTAAGAGTTCATCTGGAGATATTACTGCAGTTATTCTGACGCTTACTTGATCAAAATCAGTCAAGATTTGACACGAGAAGCGTTTCTACAATTACACTAAAAGAGCTTTTATCTCTTTTAGTATCGAATATGATACATTAGGCTTTATAGGGTTAGATATGTAAATGAGACTTATGTTACTTTCAATATAAAGTTAATGTGTTTTAAACTCATTTTAGATTATAAATGACAGAAAATATTCATTTTTAATTTAATAGGTTGCTCTAAACTCTTTTGTGCAGTTATTATTGCTAGCTAAGAGCATAAAAAAAAATTTATTACTTGAAATAAAATAAACTTTTTATGAAATAAAATATAATAAAACACTTTAAATTATTTTATTTCAGTTGCAAAGGCAACATTTTTCATTTTCAATAGGTTTAACTTGCACTAAAATAACTAAACTAAAATGAAAATGAAAGAAAAACTAATAAAAATTACATAAACGCACAACAAAATTACCAAAACTTTACCTAAAATGAAAATATTAAAATAAAATAAAATAAAAATAGTTTTATTTCAGCTACTTGCCAAGACAATATTTTCTTTTAGTTTATCTTGATGTACTAAAATAATTAACATTGAAATACTGAATAATAAAAAAAAAATACTGAAATAAAAATTAATAAAGACTATATGGACATATTTATAGAAACAGTAACTAATTAAATTGATAAAAACACAACAAAATTACTAAAACTTGAACTAAAATTAACATTTAAAATGTAAAAATAAAATGCAATAAAAAAAAAAAATATATATATACAAAAAAATGCATATTCTTGCATATTGCAATAAAAAAGTTGCATATTCTTTCATATTGCAATAAAGACGTGGCATATTCCTGCATATCGCAATAAAAAGTTGCATATTCTTGCATATTGCAATAAAAAAATGTTCAATATCCTTGCATATTGCAATTAAAAAATTAGCATATTCTTGCATATTGCAATAAAACTGCACAAAAGCAGTTTCCAGCAGAAATCAATGAAGGGATCAATAAAGCATAAAAACAGCCCTGCTTTTAAATCACTGTAAAAACTGATGTGTTCTTCTTAAAAATGTTTTTAATAGCAGGCATAAATTTTGCTTTGTTTAGTAATAATTAATTCGAGTGACTAAAACTAAATATTTTATTACAATGGAAACAATAAAAATAAAAACATTCAAAATATTAATAAAAACTATAATAGTACCTCAATAACAGTAAAATAGCACTGTGCTGATGCATGACTTCCTGTTGTCCTGCAGAACTTCCTGCGGAAGGTGGAGCAGATGTTCATGTGTGTTTGTTGTCAGGAGCTGTCCTTTCAGCCCGTCACCACCGAGTGTTCACACAACGTCTGCAAGGTTTGAGTTAAACTCATCACTA